TTTTTTTTACTTCTCTATCAAACAGCCCCGATGCGGAAGTGTAGACCCAAGCAACGATTTCCTTGGGTTGGATCGTAAGGAAAGTCATTTAGGAAACTTTTGTGGTTGCCTTAGAGGAGAAAAGTCACTGCTGCCGTAGTAAAAAAGGAGTTAACGTCGGTACTCACCTCGCTGGCAGCATAGAAAACGATCGGAGTAAGGCAGTATAAGGGAAAGACTTTCTGAGTGTACCGTTTAACCTAACTGAGTCCCCTCCCCCTATAGGGCAGCCTCTGGAGATGGTGCAATAATTGACAATCCTGTGGTACAGTCTTGAAGATGGTTACCTATCATGTCAAACAAAATTTTGTTTCTACGTGCCCCGTATCCCTTAACGCGGGTAAGACCTAGCAAAACTTGGATAAAAGGGCCTGATTGAATCTAGTAAAGATCAGGTATTCTGTGCTGTAAGCATTTGCTAGGAGAGGTTGGTGTTAATCTGAGGGGTGAGGAGGGTGGGTAAGCAATTTTTCAGTTACAGTGGCTGTCTTGACGCCCCTGGGGGGGGAGGAGGTTTGACTGCCTCCTCAGCCATCACCACTCTTGGCGTCAACCAAGAGGTTACTGAGCGACTGCAAGATGGTGGCGAAACCCGTTATTGTAACTCACCACTCGCCCAAAAAGCGGTGTAATTGATTAATGCTATCCGGGATTAAAAGGTTTGATGGCAACAGTAACTTAAGTACTGCACCTTATATACCCCTGTTCCCAGTATTTTATCCTACGGAAACGTTAGTTAAAGGGGTGTTATGGGTAAAGGAATTAGGATAGGCAGTGGAATATACTTGACTAACTGCCATATACATTTTTATTTTATCGTATTGAGAAATGTTGCTGATTTATATCTGTAGATCCTTCTAATCTGTATTATTATTTAACGTTTTTCAGAAAAACCCGATGATAAAAATGCAGGGTACCTGAAATTCCTGAAAAAATGGAAATGTTGGCTCGTAGATCGTATATTTCAACTTATCTGAGGCCCAACTTACTGTTCTCGATTTAGATTAGTATAGTCCACAATACAAAGCGCTGCGCACAACTTCAATATACACGCGAAACATCTTACTACCAACGGCCGCAGAAAACAAATTCAACCACATTTTTCCGCTTTTAACTTACTGCTACAAATTTCCTTCATTTACTCACCCTCAAAACCCCCTATTACCACCGCTCCCATATGACGGTTTGCTGGGGCTTGGTGTATATGAGGTGCACTAGTTAAACTAGCATTGCCAGTTTTGTATTCCTGAAAGCCTTCCGTTACCAGGTTTTCTTTCTGCAGAATCCACGACATGATTCAAAGAACAAGTACGGACTCTCCAAATCAACCTTTAACAGCAAAATATATAACTATATAGGAGTGATCTCTATAAGGTGTCTGACTGTCGGCGAGGCCGTGTTCAAGCACGTGCTCAACCCCTGCCTTGGCAAACTAAACGCGTTCCAGGTATCGTGACGCCGTCAGCAATATTTCAGAGTCTCGGGTGATCTTGAATATGAGAGAGAGAAAAAATGCTTTATTTCGAAGACAAATATCCAAAAGTTTCAGCGAAAATTGCTCCATCCACGGAGAGCAAGGAATAAGATAAAGTAAAAGGTCATAGAATACTCATAATTTAAAGGTTTACATGATATCCACATCTGTTATGGAGACAGGTCGGATTTCAACTTCTGAATTTGCCTTTCTTCACATGTGAGATAGCGTGCTAGCAATAAGAGCATAGAGTGCTGACATGCTGATGTACGGCAGGGCATATGACGAAAAACTTTGGCGTATAATAAGGAAAGTCTTCACAGCTATTAATTCAGAATGGAGAATATGAGCGACCTCACTAAGGATGCGATTAGAAAATTGCTTGAACGTTTCAAAGTTTGGCTGTATTATAATATCAGCTAAAAAAAGCATAGGAGACACTGGCAGCTGAAGAGAGCACTTGGAGGACACCTTTTAAAATGAACAGGTCTTTT